GAGAGAAAGATGGAAAGATGAAGAGTTTGAGGTCAGAGTGGACCCCAGCCTCACATCCACAGGCTAGCATGGTGGGGATGGTGGTGGTAATAGCCCAGGCCACAGCATCTTGGGCATCAAAGCCCCAACTTTCTCTGCCTGTGCCCAGGGCTCAGTGCTGTTTGACTCCGGGAAGCCCTTGTCTCTCTCGGGCCTCCTGCCTCACAAAGCCTCCGAAAGGGGCTCCATGGGAGACTGCACTTGTGGGGTGTGGGCTGAGAACAGGTCAGAACATTCAGTTGGACGCCCAGGCCTCGGTTTCCCCCATCCATGAAATGGGACCCGTAGCAGGACCCAGCTTACTTTTTCTGCAATCAGCCGCACAGTCTCCAGTTTGATGATCTTGGAGGGGCTGTCCGTCCTGGACACAGTCTCTGTGGAGGGGAGACAGGACCACCAGCTTCAGGAGGGCAGCCCCCGGCCCCTCAAATTCACACCTACCTGCCCCTCCCCTGCTCAAGAAGCCACCATGGCTCCCCATTGCCCTGGAGAGAAATCCTAACAGCAGCAGCAGCTCCTGTTGGCCAAGTGCCAGGCACTGCACTCACATCCCCTCCTGACCTCAAGCCCTCACGTCCTCCTGAGGAGTGGGTGGCTGGTATTGGCCCATGTGGCAGGTGGGGAAACTGAGACTCAGAGACAAAAGGCTACTTGCTCAGGGTCGCAGAGTCAGAGGCCAGACACTGAGCCTGAGCTGCAACCCCTGGCTCTCCCAAACTCAGTCCCAACTCCAGGGTTCTGCTCAGGCTACAACCCCACAGGAAGCTCCACTCTTGCCGATATCTGTCTTCTAGGATCTGAGAGGAGCACTGCTTCCTCCAGGAAGCCCTCCTGGATTGTGCAAAGTTTCAAGAAGGAGACACAGCCTGGCATGGAGGGGTTCAAGGAGGGAGACATGACCTCATCCCCTCTTTTTGTTTTGGTTAAAGACGTAAAATCGTCAGGGTGCAGTGGCTCAAGCCTGCAATCCCACCACTTTGGGAGGCCAAGGCGGGTGGATCACCTGAGGTCAAAAGTTCAAGACCAGCCTGGCCAAACAGCAAAACCCCATCTCTACTAAAAATACAAAAATTAGCCAGGCATGGTGGCACGTGCCTGTAATTCCAGCTACTGGGGGGCTGAGGCAGGGGGATCACTTGAACCTAGGAGCAGAGGTTGCAGTAAGCCAAGATATTGCCACTGCACTCCAGCCTGGGCAACAGAGCAAGACTCCGACTCAAAAAAAAAAAAAA